AACAGCATGATTGATGGAATTCTACATGACATTAAATGGAGATTTAAATCATTGAATGAATACTTTGAATATTTTGGTTTTATTTATGATATGAATATTTTAAGATCCATTTCCAAAGAAGACCTTTATAAGCATTGTTGTGATTTAGGTACAGTTCTTCAAGAGGGTGAAAAGAGCGACATTCAATCATTTGAATTATACGCAGAATTACAACTCATAATTTCAAGTCTACCAGACTTTATTAAGGATGCAAAACAACTCATCAAATACATAATAGAAAATAATTTACAAGAAATATATCCAAATGTTTATATAACAGTCAGAATTATGCTCACTATTCCTGTCAGTACAGCTTCAGCAGAGAGAAGTTTTTCGAAGCTTAAAATAATTAAAAATTACCTACGAAATACGATGACACAGGAAAGACTCTCAGCATTAGCAGTTTTGTCCATTGAAACGAAAATTGCAAATAATTTAAATTACGAGAGATATACTTAAAACATTTAGTGAAGCAAAAAGCCGAAAAGTCCATTTCTTGTAAATAAAAAAAAAAGAAAATTCTAACAGTATTATTAATTTAAAAAAATATGTATTTAATTTTATAATTATGTATAAATAAAATTATATTGACTACTTTGCAAATAAAAGGTTAATAATTAGAGTTTATTGTTTTAAAAAATTGTAAATCTTAATATTTATTAAATAACTATTGTTACTTAAATGTTTATTAAAAAAATTAAAAAAAAGGGCCTCTTTAAGTCTACTTCGCCCACATATAAATTTTACCTCGCGCCGCCACTGGTTTGGATCGCTATAAGATAATTATTTTTTAATTTACTATTTAAATTCAAACATTTTAAATAGAACTACATTGTACGACAATTGTATATATTATTATAATTTTATTACATCAAAGAAAATAGGCCATTATTTTTTTTAAATATAATTATAAAAACCCAGCACAGTGGCTATATATACAAATTTATTGTCCTATGTATATTTTGTTTGAACTTATGCTTTATAATCAATTTACTGTTCAAATGTATTTTTTTGGCTTAAATTTTTTTTTTATGTTCACGCAGAGTTTATATTAGGAAACAATTTTTCTTTTGTGCCTAGCGATTTATTTTGTAAATTTGAAAGGTTACAAATATCATAAAAAAAATTTGAATTAATTGGCCACGACGGATAAAATTTGTAACATTCATGGCCAATTGAAAAATACAAAATGAGAGTCGCCAACCCACTGGGCAAGACAATGTACTGTCGGATTTTACAAAAAATAAAATACAGTACATTAAAAGCAATTTAATATAAAAAAAAAAAAGGTTTTATTTGCTGATTGTTGAGTCGTTGATAGTTGATATACACCAAAACCTCAGTTGTAACCTCAGTAACAGTCGTCACCTAATCATGATGATCAGGGATGCCCTTATACAAGGCCGTTGTTCGTACCTTAAAACTAGGGGGAGTTGATTTTTGAAAGGAAAAAAATACAAAAATACACGAGTCCATAGAAGATGGAACACGCAAAAAAAATAAGATGATGGTTAAGTTAAATGAAAAGGACTTTATTAATAAAAAAATTAAATTAATATGAAGCAAAAAATCAAACGGTCAAAAAAACCTCGTCTACAAATTAAAGGGAACAAATAAAAAAAAATCATATATTAACAAAACATTGTTATACCTACACTTATATAATTAGAGAATACGATGAACGTCTTCGGCTATTAAGCAAGGAATTACCGTTAAGCACAGCGGGTATACGCCCCGAGTGACTGGTTTTGAGCAGTTAAACTTAGCTTGTGAGACGTAGGGACACCCCGAAATAAAATGCACTACGTCTCCACATTATACTAATAATATATACACGCATCACCCCATAAGATATAATGTAAAATCTATACATATATAATAAAAAACCCAGCACAGTGGGGTCGCGGAAGAGTAGGGACGTAGCATAGTTAAGTCCAGTATAGATTTAATCCTACAGTGATTAAAATTACTATCAAGAGAAACGCTTCGATGAAAATCTTTAGATAGTGTTTAATTCTATGAAATTGGTGGATAATTACAAAATAGTATTTCTTAGATTCAAAAATATAAAATATAATTTTTATAATTAATTGTTTTCAAATTATTATTGATTTTGATTTTTAATATGTTAAAAATAATTATTTTTAACCTACTTTTTTTGTGAAAGTTTATAATAATAAAAAAAATGAATTTATTGCCATAACTTTTAGCTCTACTTGCAAGTTTGAAATTGACATCATTAAATAGCAAAAAAATGAAATTGTTAAGATTAATATAGAGTCAAGAAATATTATAATTACGGTAAATTTATCAGAAAAGCTCGATTTTTTTGGATTTTTATTGTAATAGATCACGAGTGTGAAGTGAGCAATTTCTAGCTAGCAATTTCTTATCAATTTAAAAATGCGGTAACAACTTCGTTACCAAATACATGGTACTAACTGAA